TGGGTCTCTGTGTGACTCTATGGGTCTCTGTGTGGTGAGTCTATGGGTCTCTGTGTGACTCTATGGGTCTCTGTGTGGTGAGTCTATGGCTCTCTGTGTGACTCTTTGGGTCTCTGTGTGGTGAGTCTATGGGTCTCTGTGTGAGTCTATGAGTCTCTGTGTAGTGAGTCTATGGGTCTCTGTGTGGTGAGTCTATGGTTCTCTGTGTGACTCTATGGGTCTCTGTATGGTGAGTCTATGGGTCTCTGTGTGACTCTATGGGTCTCTGTGTGAGTCTATGGGTCTGCTGTGTGGTGAATCCATGGGTCTCTGTGTTAGTCTATGTATGTATGTTGAACTTCTTTCGCACCGTACGTAGTCAACCGTGCTAGTCGGAGGTCCGGGGGGAGCTGGAGGACGACAATGCACCCCAAGCACGTGCTGCAGACGAGGAGCTGATTCCATCGCTCCATCTCCCTCGGGTGACGTTCCTCTCGGACGCGTTCCATCATCCCCCCCCCCCCGTCTCCAACTGTCGTCATACCTACACTTTGGTTCTTTCGGTAAAGTCACGTGGGTATAATTATTTCTAGCTACGTTTTCAGTTTCATTTATTTGGTATAGCCCTGTGAGCCATTCGGCTCTTGAATCGGGTGCAACCGCAACAAACAAAAACACGAACAAGAAAACATCTTAAAGTGACTATGTGATTGTGCAAACAGAAAAATCCAGGAAAAAAACAGCAAAATCTTCCAGGAAAAGCACCCTACACCAACGCTGTGTGCAAAAATCCCAGTGGGATGCAAGTCAAACAACAACAACAACCACAAGACAACTTTAGATTAAAGCCATCAATCTAACTCCGTACTACAACAAACAAACATGGCCAAACCAAAAAAAAACTTTTCGAAATCACCAAAATAAAGCCATAAAATCAATGTAACAGTGATCATAGGAACTGTGACCGAAATTTCACAATAAACGACATAAACAACATGTACCACCAAAACCCTGTAGTCATACGTAGCCCCATGAACTCTTGCATGAGTCACTCCACTCTATGGGTCTGCTGTGTGGTGAATCCACATCAGAGTATGGATTCCTGCAGTCACGAAAACTTGAAATCAAGATTGCCGTCATCCTCTCGGCCATCGTCCTGCGCCAGCGACGTTGTCCGTGACCCCCCCCCACATCGCCAGTCGAGATTCAGACTTATCTCACCGCTGTGCCACGTCGATTTTATAGCCACAGACCGCAGTCGAATCAATGTTTGTGCCGTTTTGTTGAACTGCCTCGCCTGCGTCACTCCTACGTGGCGATGCAAATGGGTACACACGTACACACACACACGTACACACACACGTACACACACACACGTACACACACGTACACACACACGTACACACACACACGTACACACACACGTACACACACGTACACACAACAACAACCGCCATTCGCCACTAAGTGGCGGTGACGTCACCACGACGCTTGTGCCAGGCTATGAGCACCCTGAGGCCACGTGAAGTGTCGAACGCCCGCTGGCAGGAGGTCACGGAGCAGACCCAGGTGCCACGGGTCGACTGACTGAGATGACTGGCTGATGCACCACCTGTGCCCCCTACTGTGCTAACCTGCTGTGCTTTAGCCACCCGGCGCTCCGCGCGTTATTGTGAGCGTCGCTCCTCCGCCCTCCGTTGTTGGAGGGCGACTGCCTCCAACTGCCCAGTAGCGTCCTTCACGAGCCTCCTCCACAGAGGCCGATCTTGACACCGCTGGTACCAGTCATCGGCAAGTCCACTCAGCTCCACGTCCTCCTGTACCACATCACTCCATCTCTTCTCTAGCCCGTGCCGCGCCCGCTTAGCCCCCTCAATCCGGCCGAACAAAAGCTGTTTCGGCATGCGGTGGCTGGGCATGCGGGCTACATGACCCAGCCATCGCAGCCTTGCTTGCCGGAGGAGCTCACCGATGGGACCTTGCCCAGATCTTTCAAGGATTTGTGAGCTTCTCACACAATCCAGTCTGGTTAAACCCAGGATGGATCGTAGGCAGGCCAGCCTAAATGTTTCTAACCGGCGAAGATGTTCCATTAGGGGGGTCCACGTTTCGCAAGCGTAGAGAAGGGAGGGAATGACCGTGGCCGAGAAGACCTGAAGCTTAGTGCGGAGCGACAGACCAGGTAGCTTCCACACAGCGTTACGCAACCGATGAAAAGATATTGCCGCTCGTCTGATTCGGAGTGAGACCTCTGCTGTCAAAACACGTACACACACGTACACGTACACACACACGTACACACACACGTCTACGATCGCGCAGCAGGTCGCGTATGTCGGCAGGCAAAGTGCGTGTGTGAGACTCCGGCAGGCGAGGAGGCTGCGTTGGCTGGGTCGTGTAGCCGGCTGGGTTGTGTTGCCGGCTGGGTCGTGCAGCCGGCTGGGTCGTGCAGCCGGCTGGGTCGTGCAGCCGGCTGGGTCGTGCAGCCGGCTGGGTCGTGTAGCCCGCGTGCCCAGCCACCGCACGCCCAAGCAGCTTCTGTTTGGCCGCATATAAGAGGGGGGCTGCTAAACGGGCACGGCACGGGCTGGAGAAGAGATGGAACTGATGCGGTACGGGAGGATGTGGAGCTGAGCGGACTTGCCGATGGTACCAGCGGTGTCAAGATCGGCTTCTTGCGGAGAAGGCTCGTGAAAGACGCTGCTGCTGCTACTGGGCAAGTTGGAGACAGTCGCCCCTCCAGCAACGGCGGAGGGCAGAGGAGCAACGCTCACAACAACGAGCGGAGCGCCGGGCGGCTAAAACGCACCTAGCTGACGCGGTGGGGGACACGGGCGGTGCATCTGCCAGTCATCTCAGTCAGTCAACTCATGCCACCCGGGGTCAGCCCCATGAACTCTTGCTAGCAGCGAGCCTTGGCCACCAAACAATAGCCTCAAAGTGCACCTATCCTGGCACAAGCCCCCTAATGCCGTCACCGCCACTTAGTGGTGAACGGAGGTTGTTGATGTTGAGACGGCATTTGCACAACTTTATTGACCACAGGTCTAAAAGCTTGGACGTGCATCTTACTTTCCGGAGTGTCTTGTAACCCGGGGACCCCCGGGGGGGGGGGGGGGGGTGCTGATCGATTAAAATCGATTAATCGATGAGTAAATCGCAAAGGCTGCGATTTGAAAAGTGCTGTGACTGTCTTCTTGGAATTGTTTAATTTAGCATTATTATTATAACTTTCTTTATTTAACTTAACAATTGTTCTATGTTCGATTGTTCTATTTCAATTAAAACATTTTAATAAATACATCTTGGAAGCATCTTCTTTGGTTCTTTCGGTAAAGTCACGTAGAATGAGAATAAAATAATAAATTGATAAAATAAAATAACACAATAATATTCTCACGACGTTTCGGCCACAACACAAGCGGCCTTCATCAGGTGAAGGGACGAGACTGTCTGGTAGGACAGCGCTGGAGTGAAAGAGCCACGTTCAGATCACGACCTTTAAGCTTAGAGTCGCGGCAGCTTAAAGGTCGTGATCTGAACGTGGCTCTTTCACTCCAGCGCTGTCCTACCAGACAGTCTCGTCCCTTCACCTGATGAAGGCCGCTTGTGTTGTGGCCGAAACGTCGTGAGAATATTATTGTTATTTTATTTTATCAATTTATTATTTTATTCTCATTCTACGTGACTTTACCGAAATAACCAAAGAAGATGAATCATTGCAGTCACGAAAGCTTTAAATCGAAATGTTGGAAGCAATTAATATCTTTTAAGTTCTCATCATTGCATTTGTATTCTTTTATTATTATTTCGATCTACGTGACTTTACCGAAAGAACCATAGACTATTTTATAGAGCAGTTCATATGTTGATGGTATCATTTGGTAATACTCCATCACATGTTTTAAATCGATTACACAGTGAATATTGAACCGAAGCTTGACTTTAAACATTTTAATCGCAAATCAAATCGCAATATCTGTCAGAAAAATCGCAATTAGACATTTCCCCCAAATCGTTCAGCCCTCGACCGTGTGTGTCTGTGGGTGTGTGTTGGGGGGGGGGTCTCCCCCTCTCCTATGCTGCGCTCTGCTGACCCCACTCCCCGACCCCAGCGTGGACTTTACAGGAATCGAATCGAGACCGCTGAAGTCGCGCGCGAGTGCGGCCAAGTCGATTCGAATCGAAACTCGCCCGCACCTGCCCACTCGCTCGCTGCGGGTCTCTCGTTCTGTCTGCGTCTCCGTCTCTCTGTGTCTCTCTGTGTGTCTTCGTGTGTCTCAGTGTCTCTCTGTGTCTCTGTGTGTCTCTCTCCGTGTCTCTCAGTGTCTTTCTGTCTGTGTCTCTCAGTGTCTCTCTGTCTGTGTCTCTCAGTGTCTCTCTCTGTCTCTCTGTCTGTCTCTCTCTGTGTCTTCGTGTGTCTCTGTGTCTCAGTGTCTCTCTGTCTGTGTCTCAGTGTCTCTCTGTTTGTGTCTCAGTGTCTCTTTCTGTGTGCCTTCGCGTCTCTCAGTGTCTCTCTGTCTCAGTGTCTCCCTGTCTGTCTCTCTGTCTGTGTCTCAGTGTCTCTCTGTGTCTCTCTCCGTGTCTCTCAGTGTCTTCGCGTCTCTCAGTGTCTCTCTGTCTCAGTGTCTCCCTGTCTGTCTCTCTGTCTGTGTCTCAGTGTCTCTCTCTGTGTCTCTCTCTGTAACTCTCTGTCTCTCTCTCAGTGTCTCTACGTCTCTCTCTGTGTCTCTCTCTGTGTCTCTCTGTGTCTCAGTGTCTCTCTCTGTCTCTCTTCGTGTCTCTCTCTGTGCCTCTCTCTCTTTGTCTCTCTGTGTCTTAGTGTCTGTCTCAGTATCTCTCTCTGTGTCTCTCTCTCTGTGTCTCTCTCTGTGCCTCTCTCTCTGTGTCTCTCTGTGTCTTAGTGTCTGTCTCAGTGTCTCTCTCTGTGTCTCTCTCTGTGTCTCTCTCTGTGTCTCTCTCTGTGTCTCAGTGTCTGTCTCAGTGTCTCTCTCTGTGTCTCTCTCTGTGTCTCTCTGTGTCTCAGTGTCTGTCTCAGTGTCTCTCCGTCTCCTCTGCTGCTCGCTCCTCTTCATCTCGCCCCCCTCCCTCGTGTTTTTGGTGTTGTGCGTGGTGGCGTGTGTGTGTGTTTCTATACTATTGTGTTGTTGTTGTTGCTGCTGCTTGTGACTTTGTGTGTTTCGTATCGAAATCGACTCTAGCGCTGTTGCTGCTGTCGGCAATAAAAGTGGTTTACAAGTGAATATCTCCTCCAACTCTCTCGCCATGTCCTCGTCCACCACCACCACCACCTCCTCCTCGCCGGGCCGCGTGTCCCTGTGCTCGGCGCTCTCCATGCTGCTCCTGTCGCTGCTGCTCACCGCCGCGCTCGGCCTCTGGCTGCCCGCGCTGCTCCAGGCGCTGCTGGGCAGCCGCACGGCGCTCGCCATCGTGGCCGCCTACGGCGCCTTCGCCCTCACGCTCAGCAAGCCGGCCGTGCCGCGGGGCAGCCTCGCGGTGAGCAGCACGGGGCGGGGGGGGTGGTGATGGTGGGGGTGAGGATGATGGTGGTGGTGGGGGTGATGATGGTGGTGGTGATGGTGGTGATGATGGTGGTGGGGGTGATGGTGATGGGGGTGGTGATGATGGTGGTGGTGGGGGTGGTGGTGATGATGGTGGTGGTGATGATGATGGTGGTGATGGTGGTGGTGGTGATGGTGGTGGTGGCGGTGATGATGGTGGTGATGGTGATGATGATGGTGGTGGTGATGATGGTGGTGATGGTGGTGGTGGTGATGATGGTGGTGGTGGGGGTGATGATGGTGGTGGTGGTGGGGGTGGTGGGGGTGGTGGTGGTGGGGGTGGTGGGGGTGATGATGGTGGTGGTGATGATGGTGGTGATGATGGTGGTGGTGATGGTGATGATGATGATGGTGGTGGTGATGATGGTGGTGATGGTGATGATGATGGTGATGATGGTGGAGATGATGATGGTGGTGATGGTGGTGGTGATTATGATGGTGATGATGGATAAGGGTGGTGGATGTGGTGGGTAGACGGGGATGATGGAATGTGCCCAGGGCCGGATTAACATTTTGTTAGGCCCCTGGGCTACAGGTACTGTGAGGGCCCTGGGCTACAGGTACTGTGAGGCCCCTGGGCTACGGGTACTGTGAGGCCTCTGGGCTACAGGTACTGTGAGGCCCCTGGGCTACAGGTACTGTGAGGCCCCTGGGCTACAGCTACTGTGAGGCCCCTGGGCTACAGGTACTGTGAGGCCCCTGGGCTACAGGTACTGTGAGGCCCCTGGCCTACAGGTACTGTGAGGCCCCTGGGCTACAGGTACTGTGAGGCCCCTGGGCTACAGGTACTGTGAGGCCCCTGGGCTACAGGAACTGTGAGGGCCCTGGGCTACAGCTACTGTGAGGCCCCTGGGCTACAGGTTCTGTGAGGCCCCTGGGCTACAGGTACTGTGAGGGCCCTGGGCTACAGGAACTGTGAGGCCCCTGGGCTACAGGTACTGTGAGGCCCCTGGGCTACAGCTACTGTGAGGCCCCTGGGCTACAGGAACTGTGAGGCCCCTTGGCTACAGCTACTGTGAGGCCCCTGGGCTACAGGAACTGTGAGGCCCCTGGGCTACAGGAACTGTGAGGCCCCTGGGCTACAGGTGCTGTGAGGCCCCCTCCCCCCAGCAATATTTTCAGAAAAAAAAAGTTAAATAAAAATTTATTTTTACAAGGCTAACAACAAATAAAATTCAGCATTCACAAACGAAATAACGTTTCGCTTCATCTCTGGAGGCCCTCCAGCTGGTGGAGGCCCCCTGGGCTGCAGCCCCTGAAGCCCCCCACGCCTTGATCCGGCCCTGGATGTGCCCATGTGGTGGAATGGAGGTGATGTGAGAAGGTGGATGGGGAACGTGGTGGTTGTGGTGGTTGTGGTGATGATGGCAAATGTTGTGCTGGACATGGTGGTGAGGGATGTGAGATGGTGGATGGGCATGTGGTGGTGGTGGTGGTTGGTGATGATAGCAGACACGGTGATGGATTGGGGATGCGAGATGGTGCCCTGGTCATAGTGGGACGAGGAGGATGGAGTGGTGGGGTTGAGTCGTGGTTGGGGAGAAGGGTGGACCGATGGGTCGGTGGATGTGGCGGTGGATGGCGGGCAAAGGGCTGTCCATAAATGACGTCACGCACCTGGGGGGGGTGGGGTCAGACATTTGTGACGATGTGTGACGAGGGGGGGGGGTTTGAGAAATGTGACGTCACATCAAAATGCACAACTTTAGATAAATATAGACAACACGTTCTACTAAATTAAATAGACTTTTTAATAAATGTTTTCTCCTACAACATCAGAGTGCAGCGCCACATTAAAAACGCACTACAATGACAATAGTTTAAAGCGATTTGAAGCATGTTTTATATATTTTTTTGGGGGGGGGGAGGCAGAGCTTTGTGACGTCATTTGAGGGGGGGTCTGACTTTTTGTGACGCCGTGTGACGAGGGGGGGGGTAAAAAATCGTCCAAAATCGCGTGACGTCATTTATGGACGGCCCCCAAGATTCCTAACCGCCTCCTCCTGCCTCTGTCCACCCAGCCGTGTAAATGGGTACACCGCAGGACGTCTGATGTGGTGTAGGTAAAGTATGGGTGCAGTACTCCCTATCTCTATCCAAGGCGTGTAGCCAGGGTGAAAGAGGAGGCCCAAAAGTGTCTTCCACTAGGAGGGGGCCCAAAGGGCTCCGTCTAGTGGCGCGGCATGAGAAAACAGCAGTAGCGCGAGCGGGCAATTGCAGGGCTGCACCTTTATCTGTGTCTCGTATGTGTACACGTGCGTGTGTGTGTGTGGTGCAAGCGGGGAGCGGTGGTGTAGCGGTTAGCGCGCCGCGCTACAAACCCGGCGACCCGCGTTCGATTCCCGCTCACGGCCAACACCGGTGACTGTTATCTAAACCAGTCCTGTGCCCTTCCCCTAGGTCGACTCGGCCTCAAATGAATTCCTGGTCCGGTGTGTAAATACGGTGCCACTGGGGAGACAAAGGCGGTCGGGCGTGGTGCTGGCTGCCCACTCGCGCCCCTCGTGTGCCGTGCCGGCCTTCGCAGATGCTCCCTAACAGCACTTGCCCCAACAGTCTGTTAAGGCTACACGGGGGTGGGGGTATCTTTTGTCTTTGCCTTGTGGTGCAGGCGAGTGGCAAGGCGGTGCTGGTGACGGGCTGCGACTCGGGGCTGGGCCGGCTGCTCGCGACTCGCCTGCACTCGCACGGCTTCTCCGTGCTCGCCGCGTGTCTGCACAAGGTGCGTGTGTGTGTGCGTACGTGTGTGTGCGCGTGTGTGTGTGTGCTCACAAGGTGTGTGTGCGTGTGTGTGCTCGCAAGGTGTGTGTGCGTGTGTGTGCTCACAAGGTGTGTGTGCGTGTGTGTGCGTACGTGTGTGTGCGCGTGTGTGTGTGCTCACAAGGTGTGTGTGCGTGTGTGTGCTCACAAGGTGTGTGCGTGTGTGTGTGTGTGTGTGCGTTCGTGTGTGTGCTCGTAAGGTGTGTGTTCGTGTGTGTGTGCTCACAAGGTGTGTGTGTGTGCTCACAAGGTGTGTGTGCGTGTGTGTGCATACGTGTGTGTGCGGGTGTGTGTGTGTGCTCACAAGGTGTGTGTGTGTGCGTGTGTGTGCTCACAAGGTGTGTGCGTGTGTGTGTGTGTGCTCGCAAGGTATGTGCGGGTGTGTGCTCACAAGGTGTGTGTGCGTGTGTGTGCTCACAAGGTGTGTGTGTGTGTGCTCACAAGGTGTGTGTGCGTGTGTGTGCTCACAAGGTGTGTGTGCTCGCAAGGTGTGTGCGTGTGTGTTTGCTCGCAAGGTGTATAACGGTGAGGGAGGGTTCCTCGCCGACGAACAAACCTGCCGTTTTCACCGGCATTGGTTCGTGCGAGCCTGCCTGGCTCTGCCGATTAGACGACGCTGAACGTCGAAACGGGTCCAAGGGTTTCGCTTTTGTTCCGTCAATCCTGCGGAAGTTATGCACTCCCAGAAGGAAGGCCGTTCGGCCGACGTGATGCGTAACGAATATTAAGTATTTTTTTTATGCGGAGAGTCGAAGGAGACGTGTTGTCCGCTGCGGTCTTTTGTTTCAGGGCCTGCGGTCGTTTTGAAGATCCTCTTTTTAACTCGGCCGACTTTTTTCTGACCCTATCGCCTTTTCCTCTCTGCTCAGCTCTGGTGACCGCTGCTTCCTCGCTCCTCTCAATCGGCCTCTGATCAGCGGGAAGTCGCCGCTCCTTACTTTGCTGTTCCCGCTGTCTAAGAACTTCCTCACCCGCCTCCCGCTGCCTGAGCACACGACACGTGCCCCGTCCAACTCAAGAGACGTCTCCTCGCTGACAAAACGTGACGCAACATTTCTGCCAAATCGCAAAATAAATTCACAAACTCTCGGCGCCGAACCTAATCCGTTGTGAAATGTTGCCTGAAAGTATTGCTGAGTGTAGGCTGCCATCGTGCCCAGGATGTGGTCGGCGGTGGTGGTGGCGGTGTGATTAGCTCAGGGTGCTGGTGAGGTGCACTGGCTAGCAAACTGTACCCGCGCACGCGCGCGTGCGCGTACAGTGTGTCAGTGCGTGCGTTGAGGAGTGTGTGGGTAGCGGTGGTGTAGCGGTCAGCGAGCTGCGCTACAAATCCCACCACCCGACTTCGATTCCCGCTCACGGCCACCAACACCGGTGACGATTATTTTGAATCGGTCCTGGGCCCCTCCCCTAGGTCGACTCAGCCTCAAATGAGTACCTGGTGCGGTGTGTAAAACATCGCCACTGGGGAGACAAAAGCGGCTGGGCGTCGTGCCGGCCACGCACCCCCTCGTGTGTGTCGTGCCGGCCTTCATAGGTGCTCGCTAACAGCACTTGCCCCGACAGTCTGTTAAGGCCAAACAGGGGAGGGATCTTTTGCCTTGTGGTGCAGGCGAGCGGCGAGGCGGTGCCGGTGACGGGCTCCGACTCGGCGCTGGGGCGGCTGCCCCTCGTCTCGCCTGCACTCGCAGAGCCTACTAAAGCCTACGCCTGTGTGCGTGCGTGCGTGCGCGCTTGTGTGAATTTTAGTATTTCTCGCTTGCTTGCTTGCTTGCGCGCGCGCGTGCGTGCAGGACGACGGCGGGGAGGGTGCACGGGCGCTGGAGAGCCAGGCCTCGGAGCGGCTGCGCGTGCTGCAGATGGACGTGCGCAGCGACGAGCAGGTGGCGCGCGCCAAGGAGCTCGTGCAGCAGTACCTGCAGCAGCAGCACATGCAGGGTGCGTGTGCGCGCGCACGTCGGGACCCGCCGTGCAACGGGGCGGGCGCGTGGACACGAGCGCAACCGGGTGGACGCGCGCGCGCATTTGTGGGCTTGTTGTAAAAAGAAAGTCTTGTTGATTGAGGCAATCGTAGTGGATTCGGGAAAAAAATCGTTTTGGCTGGCCCTCGCGGTCTCGCCTCGCGCGCGTCTGCGCGATGGCGTCACGCCTCCCCACACACCCACCCTCCACTCTGGCCTTGTGTCCCGCGCAAATGCGTGGGCAGTGCTAGCAATGACGAAAAAAGTGTATTCAACTTGCAACGCGCCGCCACAGTATTCTCGAAGAGAGAGGGGACGACTCGGAGGCGTGAGGTGAGGAACCACGGATGAGCGGGATGGCAGCAGCAGCAATGCGGCGGTGTGCCGGCGCCAGCAACTGCCCAAGCTCAGCGGTCCTCTATATATGAAGGTGTTATTGGGCGATTAATTGGTGTTTGTACACGTGGGAGGAAACCGGAGGCACTTGGAGAAAAACCGCACGTGCGAGGGAGAAGCACTCGATCCCATACCGACGTAACAGATGGTGTCCACATTTTCGTCGTACCGCCTTCTGGCAAGAGCCAGGGGTACAGCACCTCCTCGACGCCTACGGGAAGGGAGTTGTTACCACAACATTTGTGTGTGTGAGCCACCAATTCTCGCCGCTGCCTCTACAGTGCCGGATTACAGGCAGCCACGTGCACAGCCACCACCGCCGCACCGGCTATCCGTACCTCGAGCCGTCTCGAGTCATATCCCGAACCTGTTTATAACAGCGCAGCAAATCGCCAATTCTCTCGCTGCCGTTGCTGCCGTTGCTGCCTCCGCGGCTGGAAGCTTTACGCAGGCTGCCCCATCCCATTGGGGAGCTCGGTGGGCGCGGGTGTTGTGGGGGCCGGCCGTAAGCGCGGCCTTGCCACGAGCAGAGGGGGGGGCCACGCTCTTGACCGAGTTCATAGCCTTGGACCGGCAAGGGGAGGGCATGCGATCAGTTGGGTGCACCGAACGGACTTGCGCAGGTGGTTCAAAGTCTCTCCCCGGCCGGCCGCGAGGAGATAAAGGTTTGCGTGCAGCGTGTGATTTAGTTACCAGGCTAATTCAGGGGTGGGATTCCCCCGCTATATCCACTTTATTTGTATCAAGATCCCGTTATTTCAATTAAGATAACAATTAGTCCCGTTTGCGGCTTACGTTGTGGTATTTACGGTGCTTTTGAAACACATTAGAATTAAATAGAAATGGACGTGTAAACAAAAATGGTTAATAAAGGCTCCATTGAAACCATAAAAAAACAACGCAATTCTAGGTCGACTCAGACTTAAACTGAGCACCTGGCGCGGTGTGAAGACAACGGCATTGGTGCTGGCCACGCCAAGCACCCAGCGCGCCGTTTCCGGACTTAACCCTTTCCCGTTCCGATGCCGTACGGCTACGTCATCACGTATCCGTACGTATGTCTTTTTCTTCCGATTCCGTTATGATGACGTACGTGTACGTCATCGGAACGGAATCGATTCCGAATGGAATCGGGAGTAAAAGGCCGTGTAGGAGAGTGAGTGGCAGAGTTTGGCGCCAGCTATTGTAGACTGCGGTCGTGTCACTACGGCTCTCTCTGCGGTGAGTACAGTGCCTTTAAAGACATCGGCGCTACGCCTCTCTAAATAAAATGAACACCGAACCGCTCGCGCGTTCCGAGATTCGGCGGTGAACGGCACGCCCACCACCCTCCAACTTGCAGACGTCTCGGAACGCAAAAGGGTCAATAGGTGCTCGCTCGCAGCACTTCCCCCAATGATAGATGTTCAATTTAGCGTGCTTTTGGGACTTTTGCATCGATTGCATTGTGCGCAAATCGAACATCGATTGCCCGCCAACGGGAAGCGACGTCGCCCTGTCTCCACGTACGCGCCACAGGCCTGTGGGGAGTGGTGAACAACGCCGGCGTGACGGCGCTGGGCGACGCCGAGCAGGTGCCAGTGGACCTCTACCGCGACGTCACGGACGTCAACGTGTGGGGCACCGTGCGCGTCACGCAGGCGTTCCTGCCGCTCGTGCGCGAGGCCAAGGGTGAGCGAGCGAACCCCCACCCCCCCCCCCCCCCCTTCCCGGAGTGCCGCTAGCGTGTAGCGCCTAACGACGGACAGAACGGCACGCGATTTTGCACACCGGGCCGGGTGCTCATTTGAGGCCGAGTCGACCTAGAGGAGAGCCCAGGACCGGGTCAGATATCTGTCACTGGCGTTGGCCGTGAGCGGGAATCGAAACTCGGGTGGCGCGGTATGCAGGGCAGCGTAGCGCTAACCGCTACATTGCACACACACACACTCGCGCGCATGGCACGCGTGCACACGTGTCGGCGCGTACGTGCGCGCCAACACGTGTGCACGCACGGCTCTCTCTGTCACTCCGCTGCCGGACGAGGGCCCTCCCCGCACCGTACCGGGTCGCGGGGGCCTTTTGACCCGTACCTCATCGCGCGGGGTGGTGCAGGACGGTGACGGCAGGGATGCCGTAGAGGGGCTTGTACGACAAAGCGCTTTGCCGCACTGCCCACAGTGCAGCCACGGTCGGAATACAACGCTCGCAGGGTTTGTGTAAAATAAATAATGTCGACGTGGTCAAGAATCTGAATGGAGGCTGTCCTGTGCAGGCCATTTTGTTATCTGAGCCGGACTTTGGAACCGCGCTGCCTGAAACTCGGGGAGTGACCAACAATTTCGTTGGCCCATTTTAATTGTCACAGAGTAACCCTGGCCACCCGAGTTGGATTCTTGGTGTGTGTGTGCGACTCGGCCTCAAATGAGTACCTTGTGCGGTGTAGTAAACATCGCCACTTGGGAGACGAAGGCGGACGGGCGTGGTGCTGGCCGCCCACCCCCTCGTGTGCCGTGCCGGCCTTCATAGGCGCTCGCTAACAGCACTTGCCCCAACAGTCTCTTCAGGCTATACGGGGGATCTTTGTCTCTTTGTGCGTCCTTGTGCATGTGCCTGTGACCACCTCCGGTGTGACAGCAGAGGTCTCACTCCGAAGCGGGAATATATTTTCATCAGCTGCGTAACGCTGTGTGGCAGCTACCCGGTCTGTCGCTCCACACGAAGCTTCGGGTCTTCTCAGCCACAGTCATGCCCACCCCTCTCTATACCCCCGTAATTGAATATCTTAGCCAGTTAGAAACATTTAGGCTGGCCTGCCTACATCCATCCTGGGTTTAACCAGGCTGGATTGTGTGAGGAGTTCACAAATCCTCGAAAGATCTGGGGAAAGTCCCATCGGTGAGCTCTTCCGACAGGCAAGGCTGCATTGGCTGGGTCATGTAGCCCGCATGCTCAGCCACTGCATCCCAAAACAGCTTTTGTTCGGCCGGACAAAGGGGGCAAAACGAGCGTGGCACGGGCTAGAGAAGAGATGGAGTGATATGGTACTAGAAAACGTGGAGCTGAGTGGACTTGCCATTGACTGGTACCAGCGGTGTCAAGATCGGCCTCTGTGGAGGAGGCTCGTGAAGGACGCTACTGGGCAGTTGGAGGTAGTCGACCCTCCAGCAACAACGGAGGGCGGAGGAGCGACGCTCACAACAACGAGCATAACACCGGGTGGCTAAAGCACAGCAAGTTAGCACAGTAGGGGGCACAGGTGGTGCATCAGCCAGTCATCTTCAGTCAGCCAACCCATGACACCTGGGCCTGTCCCGTGACCTGTCAGCGGGCGTTCGACACTTCACGTGGCCTTAAAGTGCACCTGGCCTGGCACAAGCGCCGTGGTGGCGTCACCGTCACTTAGTGGTGAATGGCGGTTATTGTTGTTGTTGTTGTGCGCGTGTGTGATCGTGCGTGTGAGCGTGCAGGCCGCGTGGTGAACGTGACCAGCATGCTGGCGCGCATGCCCGTGGCCTCCTGGGCGTCCGAGTGCGTCTCAAAGGCAGCGGCCGCCGCCTTCAGCGACTGCCTCCGCATTAAGCTGCGCTCGGTGAGCTGAGGCTGGGTGCCTTGCGTACGTAGCCATCGCTTTATCTCTCATCGCTTTATCTCTCTCATCACTTTATCTCTCGTCACTTTATCTCCCGTCGCTTTATCTCTCGTCACTTTATCTCTCGTCACTTTATCTCTCTCATCACTATCTCTCATAACTTTATCTCTCGTCACTTTATCTCTCATAACTTTATCTCTCGTCACTTTATCTCTCATTACTTTATCTCTCATCACTTTATCTCTCGTCACTTTATCTCTCGTCGCTTTATCTCTCATCACTTTATCTCTCATCACTTTATCTCTCGTCGCTTTATCTCTCGTCGCTTTATCTCTCGTCACTTTATCTCTCATCACTGTATCTCTCATCACTTTATCTCTCATCACTTTATCTCTCATCACTTTATCTCTCATCACTATCTCTCGTCACTTTATCTCTCGTCACTTTATCTCTCGTCACTTTATCTCTCGTCACTTTATCTCTCATCACTTTATCTCTCATCACTTTATCTCTCATCACTTTATCTCTCATCACTTTATCTCTCGTCACTTTATCTCTCGTCACTTTATCTCTCGTCGCTTTATCTCTCGTCACTTTATCTCTCATCACTTTATCTCTCGTCACTTTATCTCATCACTTTATCTCTCATCACTTTATCTCTCATCACTTTATCTCTCGTCACTTTATCTCTCATCACTTTATCTCTCATCACTTTATCTCTCGTCACTGTATCTCTGGTCACTTTATCTCTCATCACTTTATCTCTCATCACTTTATCTCTCATCACTTTATCTCTCGTCACTGTATCTCTCGTCACTTTATCTCTCATCACTTTATCTCTCATCACTTTATCTCTCATCACTTTATCTCTCGTCACTTTATCTCTCATCACTTTATCTCTCGTCACTTTATCTCTCATCACTTTATCTCTCTCTCGATGCAGTCGTGTCGAGTTTCAAATTCGATTCGCAGGCAGCCTAAAGAGACCCTATTTGGAGTATTTGGCTGCTATAAATCTCCACTTGATAAGCCACTTCGCCGAGTTATCATTTGTGATAGCCAGGTCGCTTCTGAAAGAGAGCCCTGTAACTGAGTGGGTCCTCACCTGGTAAAATAACAAGAGCAGTTTAGTTTGGCTCACCCGCCCCAAAAAACAGTTTGCAAGGCCGCGCGGGGTGGGTGCCTTTTGTCTGCGCGCGCGCGCCCTAGGCGGGCGTGACGGTCTGCGAGGTGGAGCCCGGAAACCTGACGGGAGCCACGGAGCTGCTGAGCCCCGCCCGCCTCGACTCCACGCTGTCCGCGATGGCCGACGCGTTGAGGCCCGGCCAACGCGACCGCCTGGCGCTCGTCGCGCGCTCGCTCCGAGCCGGCGGCGCCACGGGCGTGGAGCCGGCGCTCTGGGCCGTGAAGGACGCGCTGGTGTCCCGCTGGCCCTACTCGCACTACCACCCGGCCGACCTGCACTGGAAGATCCGCGCCTTCTTGGTGTCGCTGCTGCCCTGCGTGCTCACCGATCGCGTCTTCGGCCTGCACGTCTGATCGCGCTCCCCGCGTCGTCGTTCAGGGTTGTCGCCGGCGGCGGCTGCGGCTGCGGCTGCGCTTCTCGCGAGCCCTTTCCGCTACGACGATCGGTCTATCGCGCGTGCGCTTAATTACGCCGCCCCCGGAGGTCGTCCCAAGTCTAAATTGTGTCGCGCGTTATCCTCCACCAATGTATATCCCAGGTGTGCCGTCGGCACCGTGAAATGAGATGAAATCCCATTCGGGTATTTAATCGAAGCAGTTGTGTGTGTACCCCTTTGAATTTAGAGGACAGTCCGTGGAAGCGGATATCACAGAGCTATTGTCAAGGTCCCTTCAAGTGAGCCCTGGTCAGCACAGCGGGGAACGACACTTTCCCCACCACTCTGCGTATGAGAGTAGTGTTCGTCGCATGGCGGTTAAACAAGTTTTTACTCGTTGACAACCAACCATTTTGGAATAGCAAAAGGCAACAACTTCTAATATTTTTCCGGACCAAATCACTGCTCCTCCGGTTGTATTCAACGGTTTTATTTAACTTCACTTGTGTTTGTCGTGGTCAAATCTTGTAATCAAAAGTTAGACTTCTTCCTGTATTCCAATCAATTCAAAATTTTGCTACACATACTCAGATCCGGTGACAATGCATGCCTGTATCAAAATCGGCATCAATTCATCAATTAATTGCCTCCTTTCAAGCAATTACAATTTTTGTATGGACGGCTTATTAATTATAGATTTTGTGTAGGTCAAAAACGCTGCAGTCCCTAAACTGTGGAAACGAAGTTGTTAATAAAACCGTTGGTTAAAAAAAAACTTTTTTGAAGGAGTTTATTACTTATCAGTGCTGGAATTCAGCCCGATTAAGCGCAGAACCACATGTAGCGTGATGGGCTTTTTTGAGCGTAAATTTTATTTTCGCATGACATCAACATGCAACGTGATATCACACGCAACGTGGCATCAACACGCAACGTGACATCAACATGCAACGTGACATCAACACGCAACGTGATATCACACGCAACGTGACATCAACATGCAACGTGATATCACACGCAACGTGACATCAACATGCAACGTGGCATCAACACGCAACGTGACATCTACACGCAACGTGGCATCAACACGCAACGTGACATCAACATGCAACGTGATATCACACGCAACGTGACATCAACGTGACATCAACACGCAACGTGACATCACACACAACGTGATATCTACACGCAACGGTGCAGTCGTGTTCGTGCCGGCTCGTGTTCGTGCCGGCGAGTATTCATTGGTCTCGTGTGGTCTTCTTTAATTACCTTAATTCTTATTAATTACCTCCCCTGGTATGAAGGAGGTTGTGGGTTCGATCCCAACCCTGCCACCTGCTGTATATTTGGAGTTTGCATGTTTTCCCCGTAATTGCGTGGATTTGTCCCTTCCACATTTAAAAATCTAAATGCGTTTAGAGTATTTGGCTGCTATAAATTTCCACGAGATAAGCCACTTTTCGATGAGCTATCATTTGGGATAGCCAGGTGGCTTCTGAAAAAGAGCCCTGTAGCTCGTTGAGCCTTACCTGGTAAAATAAAAAATAGTTTATAGTTTGACTCTCTCTCCCCACTCCTCTCTCTGCAACCCACGTTTTAACGACAGGCGAGTGCTGAGCGATGTTTGTGTCCATTGTGAATGGGCAGACGATATGACCTCCCTTCCTATGTCTGTCACTCAGTGATTTAAAATAACAAGTGGGGGTTATTTTTTACTACGACACATCCGGTTAACCATGCGGCATTCTGGGAGTGCGTTGTTTCATCGGCGTTGGTTTGGTATAAGTCAACCTTGACCTTAATCGGCACGCAGAGTTCTGGCTCCTTTGGTGGCCAGTGGTCGACATTTTACCACCGAGTGATAGAAGACCGATTTGTGGCATCGTGCGGATAGCAATAAAAACCCAATTCTCAGCTTAAATAACGACGACTGCAGAGATTGCTTTGCATTAAACCCATGGCGCTGAAAAAAAAACACTTAAATGGCGCTGACGTCACCACGGCGCTTGTGCCAGACTAGGTGCACTCCAAGGCCACGTGGATGGACAGATATGGGATGGAGGCGTGCATTGGCTCATTTAAAAAAAAAGAGTTGGCAGTTTCCGACACTCACAAAGAGGATACAGGCTGTTATTATCCACGATCTAGAATGTGATTTTAAGTGTAGGATTATGTTGCATAGATTATTTGGTAATTCGAGCGGCATGGAAATGCGGTTAATTTCACTTTGAATATCACCGCCACAAAATAAGATTGCATCGTCCATACATAACTGATCTAGCTGCAAAGTTAATTCGATGTTTGTGCGTCGCTAAGAGCACAAGAATATAACCCTCGGTTGACACGTTTAAAATCAGAAGGTAATTTAAATTACCAATAATTGAGAAGTGTAACGTGTGGAGTGCGACGGTGCAGTCTTTAAGTGGTCAATATTAACTTTTTTAAAGCTTTGTGCGCGTGTGGAATGAAAGTAACATTAAAGTTTGTTTAGTGTCGTAATCGTGTTCACCGCGATGCTTTGAAGCAGTTTACGACATCCTCTCACTGATGTACAGTGAGGGAAAAAAGTATTTGATCCCCTGCTGATTTTGTACGTTTGCCCACTGACAAATAAATGATCAGTCCATAATTTTAATGGTAGGTTTATTTGAACAGTGAGAGACAGAATAACAACAAAAATCCAGAAAAACGCATGTCAAAAATGTTATAAATTGATTTGCATTTTAATGAGGGAAATAAGTATTTGACCCCTCTGCAAAACATGACTTGGTACTTGGTGGCAAAACCCTTGTTGGCAATCACATAGGTCAGACGTTTCTTGTAGTTGGCCACCAGGTTTGCACACATCTCAGGAGGGATTTTGTCCCACTCCTCTATGCAGACCTTCTCCAAGTCATTAAGGTTTTGAGGCTGACGTTTGGCAACTCGAACCTTCAGCTCCCTCCACAGATTTTCTATGGGATTAAGGTCTGGAGACTGGCTAGGCCACTCCAGGACCTTAATGTGCTTCTTCTTGAGCCACTCCTTTGTTGCCTTGGCCGTGTGTTTTGGGTCATTGTCATGCTGGAATACCCATCCACGACCCATTTTCAATGCCCTGGCTAAGGGAAGGAGGTTCTCACCCAAGATTTGACGGTACATGGCCCCGTCCATCCTCCCTTTGATGCGGTGAAGTTGTCCTGTTCCCTAAGCAGAAAAACACCCCCAAAGCATAATGTTTCCACCTCCATATTTGACGGTGGGGATGGTGTTCTCGGGGTCATAGGCAGCATTCCTCATCCTCCAAACACGGCGAGTTTAGTTGATGCCAAAGAGCTCCATTTTGGTCTCATCTGACCACAACACTTTCACCCAGTTGTCCTCTGAATCATTCAGATGTTCATTGGGGAACTTCAGACGGGCATGTATATGTGCTTTCTTGAGCAGGGGGGCCTTGCGGGCGCTGCAGGATTTCAGTCCTTCACGACGTAGTGTGTTACCAATTGTTTTCTTGGTGACTATGGTCCCAGCTGCCTTGAGATCATTGGCAAGATCCTCCCGTGTAGTTCTGGGCTGATTCCTCACCGTTCTCATGATCATTGCAACTCCACGAAGTGAGATCTTGCATGGAGCCCCAGGCCGAGGGAGATTGACAGTTCTTTTGTGTTTCTTCCATTTGCGAATAATCGCACCAACTGTTGTCACCTTCTCACCAAGCTGCTTGGCAATGGTCTTGTAGCCCATTCCAGCCTTGTGTAGGTCTACAATCTTGTCCCTGACATCCTTGGAGAGCTCTTTGGTCTTGGCCATGGTGGAGAATTTGGAATCTGATTGATTGATTGCTTCTGTGGACAGGTGTCTTTTATACAGGTAACAAGCTGAGATTAGGAGCACTCCCTTTAAGAGTGTGCTCCTAATCTGAGCTCGTTACCTGTATAAAAGACACCTGGGAGCCAGAAATCTTTCTGATTGAGAGGAGGTCAAATACTTATTTCCCTCATTAAAATGCAAATCAATTTATAAAAATTTTGACATGCGTTTTTCTGGATTTTATTGTTGTTATTCTGTCTCTCACTTCAAATAAACCGACCATTAAAATTATAGACTGATAATTTCTTTGTCAGTGGGCAAACGTACAAAATCAGCAGGGGATCAAATATTTTTTTCCCTCACTGTACATATTTATACCGCTGGTTGGACAGAGGCCCAGTGTGATTTAAGAAACGTGTCTCATCGTTTCAAATGGGTCATCAAGTCCCACCAGAGACCTCTGGATTGCAACTCCACTGTGATAACTTGCTGCACCACGACAGCATCCCTGTTGGGATTTGACAACGGTAAGTTTTATCAATTTTATTTTTTTTATCAATCCATTGATAGGTCCCTAAAATGACCGTCGCTCGTTAGTCGGCTCAACACCACGTTGGCGTTTACGATGGCCATTGAGAGAACAATCTACGGAACAATGAAGAATCAGAATGATATATTTTTTATTTAGACCACAGGAGGAAGCCGATGAGCTGTGAAGCTCTTTATTTCCCACACGTCCACGCACGCGGTGCCACGTGCTCGGTCCGGTTCCACACGAGCGACTCACGACCTTACTCTTTGGTTCTATTCGCTAAAGTCACGTAGGTAAAAATAAAATAACAAAAAATCACGACGTTTCGGCCACAACACAAGTGGCCTTCATCAGGTTTAAGGGACTGGACTGTCCAGAGGACAGCGTTGGAGTGAAGACAGCAAGCCCAGGTCGCGTCCTTTAAGCTGTGTGTGAGGAAACAAAAAAAACGCCTTGACAAAGGAATTAGCATAAAAATATGTACTGGACCGGCCCGGTGGCTCGGCGTTCGGAACGTTGCGAGGGTCGAATCCTCCTCGGTGGCGGTGGACCGAGCCCATCCCTTTGGGGTCGAAGGTGGTTGTCCCAAGCGTGTGTGGAATTTTCCACCGCTGGCTGAACAGGAGGTACGCGTTGCCGAAATTATCTTTTCAACAAAATTGAAACAAACCCTCTCCCATAAGAGCCAGTCGCTTGACTCAAGGATAGCCATGCCAATAAGGTAACCCTTTTTGATGTTCAGTCTGCGTTACTCTCTGGAGCCTAGCGCCGCCGATGAAAGCTAAGGACAGGAGATCAATGGGATCAATGAATGAACCGTTGGATGAGGTTGCTGGAGGATGCACGTACTTCTTTCACACCGTACGTAGCCAGCCGTGCTCATCGGAGGCGACGGAATCGTGCGTGGTTCTACCGTCGGTGATGAATGAGCGTTCCTTGGACGGCAAAGAGAAGAGATCTCGGTGCCCTTCGTGAGCTTCATGTGCGGGTGGAGAGGGGAGGGAGGTGCTTTGAGAAAGAGCGCTCTTTGGACGTGCGACTTTTTGCGAGTGCCGATTTACGATCGAAAGTGCGGCCGAAGGTCGAACGGAGGTGCGAGGGGGGGGTGGAGGTCGTTCGAGGGAGGTGTTGAGATAGCGGACTCCCTGGTGGGACGGACGCCCAGCCAAAGGGGAATATAAATTTTGGGAAAAATTAAAGGGATCTACTCCATGCGGGCCATTTTGGCTTGGCTCCGACACGGCTTGGGACCCCCATAGACGCGAGCCGCTCGGTTTTAAAAGTCGCGTGAACGGCTCGGCTCAGTCCTGGGATCGGTTGTTCAGAGGCCGGCTCAAGCTGAGCACGACCCTTGAGCCAAGTCTGAGCCGAGCCGGGACTAAGAATGCCGGGGGCCTTGGTGTTGAGTATTTGTTATATCACGGCAGAAGTAGTAACAGGTTGGCACGTTTTCG